GTGACAGAGTTTCGCACTTACCCTCATCTAAGTCTTCCACATGATATCCAGAGAGGACATTACAAGTTGCTGTCTGCAATTTTCCAAATGAAAGACATTTTTTTAAAATAAGAAATAACGAGTTGATGTTGAATTAATTTCAGACATTATAACATTAAAAAAAAAGATGGAGTTTGAACAGTACAGGTAACAAGTCTTACTTACACAGCATTTTGGCAGCGTAGATACAAGGCAAGGTCAAAGCAAAAGCCTGGGCAACACCACCCCCTAGAGGTTCCCCTGGGTCCTTTCACTTGTTCTCTGCACTAGACCTTGAGTCCGGTCTGGAGGCTCCCCCAACCCCGCCCTACCCCGAGAACCCCTGCCTGAGTGGACAGCCCTGAAGAACTGTTTGCAGAGGATCCTGGGATGAGGCTGAACACCCTCACAATCCAGATGATTGAAAGGTAAATGTGGAAGTGATTGATATGTTCCTTATCGTGATTGATAGACACCTGCGATGGTTTCATGGGTATACATATGTCAAAATTGTGGTGCGTGCCTGCGCTCCCAGCTACTCAGGAGGCTAAAGCAGAAGGATCTCTTGAGCCCAGGAATTCAAGGTTACAGTGAGCTGTGATTGAGCATACCATTGCACCCCAGCCTGGGAAACAGAGCAAGACCCCATCTCTTAAAATAAAAACAAAAAACCCAGCAAGAACTAAAGGCTGCAACAAAGAAACAAAAGTATGAAAAGATTAGTGAAAAGAAGATGTCCATTCCTACTGAAGATTTATATAAGAGGTTTCCTGCAGAATTTGCCATGTACTTAAACTATTGCCGTGGGCTGCGCTTTGAGGAAGCTCCGGATTACGTTTATGTGAGGCAGCTATTCCGCACTCTCTTCAGAAACCTGAACCAGCATATGACTCCGCATCTGATGGGCGATGTCAAAGCAGAAAGCCCCCAGCAGCAAGCCTTCTCCAGTGGACAGGGGCAGCAGGCCCACCCCCTGCATGAACCGAGGAACAGAAGCAGAGCAGGTGACAGGAGCAGCATTTGCTTCTCCCCGAATCTAGAAATGTTAGTTCGTGTGTACACTAGCCAGTGGTGTGGACAGTCATTGCTTGCACCTGCTGCTCCCAGCCTAAAACGTTTTATTTTTAACCGGAGTGCTTTAAGACCTCATTTCAGAAGAAAGTTATGACCAGTCTTCAGCCACAGTCGTGAGGGCTATAAATGCTAATAGTTGCGCATTCTTAGCGTTTTTCCATTCCTAGGGTTTGCAAGTTGTTCACTTAAAACATTTGTAAAATGGGCCAGGTGTGGTGGCTCACACCTGTGATCCCAGCACTTTGGGAGGCTGAGGCGGGAGGATGGCTTGAGGTCAGGAGTTCAGGACCAGCCTGAACAACATAATGAGACCTCATCTCTGTAAAAAAAAAAAAAAAATTAGGGAAAAAAAGCATATTTGTCACAAATTTAGTTAACATCTTACAATTGAACATGTATGTATGTTGCTTAGATAAATGTAATCCATCACTGTAAACATCTGTATGATCTGGGATTTTGTTTTTATTTTGAAATAGGAACTTTTTTTTTACAAGTTCGTTGAAAACTAAAAATTGGAAAAAAACTTAGCAAATTGTGCACTTTAAATATGTGTGGTTATTGCATACCAATTAGATTTCAGTAAAGCTGTTTTTTAAAAACCAAACCATATATAGTAACAAAAAGCAGGTGAGTGGTAGCCAGGAGCTGGAGGGGAGGGAAGGGACTTACCAAAAAGGTGCATGAGGGGGTTCTGGGGTGATTAAAATGCTTTATATCATTTTGATGGTTAAATAATTAATATTTGTCAAAACTCACCAAATTATATAGTTATAATTGTTATATGTTGGGCAGGCATGGTGGCTTACACCTGTAATCTTAATACTTTGGGAGGCAGAGGCAGGAGGATCACCTGAGCCCAAGAGTTCAAGGCCAGCCTGGACAACATAGCAAGACCCCATCTCTAAAAAAAAGGTTAATGTTATTATATGTAAATTATATGTAAATTATGGCTCAATAAAGCTGATTTTTAAAAATCTAACCATGTGGAAATGGAAATACACTCTCTTGGGACAAAGAAAATCAAAATTAAAATCAGATTATATAGAAATGAATAGTAATGAGTATATATCACAGCAAATCTGTGGGATGCAGACAAAGTTATGCATGAAGAGAAACTGATAACATCACTTGTTTTTATTACTAAGCATGAAGAATCAAACCAATATGTAAACTAAGCATTCATCTCAACATTATAGAAAAACAACTATAAAATAAGAAAATGGAAGGAAATTAGAAAGTGGAGAGCAGGAATTAGTTATATTAAAAGAAAGAAAATTGATCAACAGAATGAAAACTTATTTTAATATATAAGGTTATTAAGATTAAAAAAATATTTTGGCAAGTATGACTTAGAGAAAAAGAGAGAGAAAAATAAAA